GGGAAGTGGTTGAGTCACCATCCCTGGAGGTATTTAAAAAAGGTGTAGATATGGCACTTAGGGGCATGGTTTAGTGGTGGACTTGGCAGTGTTAGGTTTACAGTTGGACTTGATCTTAAGGGTCTTTTCCAACCTAAGTGACTCTATGATTCTATAAACACTACCAAGCACTTTCACAAAAGTCATCATTATATGCTGCTTTAGTTTCTAATAATTTTTACTCCTTTTAATAAAGGCGCTGTATTTATTTTCTACCTTAATCACAAACTGCTATCACTACTTCCCGGTAAGAGGTACTACCTTAAAATTATAAATACAGTTGTATTCTCTGCATAAATTACACTGATTGTGCCAGACTTTTGCTAAACTAGAGGTACCAGATGTATCTTTGATACGTTCACAGACTTAAGTTAGTAAAACCCTAAAACCTCTGGAAATCAGAAGGACCCTGGAGAAAGCTTCTTAGAAGCATCCGCACTACTTCCAAAATGCAAAAATCCTTTCGAGTAGGCAGATGATTGCAACTTGACTGCAAACATTCTGCCAAACTTGGGGCTCCACCTCTCTGGGCAGATCAGATCATGGAATGTGCCTTCTATCATGAACTCATTGTCATAACCTTCCTGGAAATTTTTGGTTTCCTGGTCTTTCTGCATATGCACATTTATTCTTTTTATCCACATCCAAATTGTAGAACTCTGGACCACTGCCCTGCGCCACGGGCAGACCCAAGCTGCACCCTGACTGCTTGTCTGTCTGAGACCTCTCCGTGCACCTTCTACCCTCACTCTTCATGCACTGATTAACCCTAAGAGCTCCAGATGGTAATTAGGTAAGCAGGTAAACACAAAATTATGATGCATTCTAACAGATCCCTCAAAAAAGATGACGACACTAGGACTACAATCACACAGTGATGTGTACTTACTGCCCATTTGGATACAGTCTTTAGCTCCATCTGCTTTCCTACTTCTTGCTAGCCTATTCAGTGCTCCCTTCAAAGTGAAATGGCTGAAATTAATTAATTTAGATAAATATCAGATGATGGAAAGACTATTTGTAATCACAGCTTTCCAAGAGGCTGATCTTAACCTACCTATGTGTCTTACATCTGGTATAAAATCTAGTCTTAATTACATATTTGACATTGATTTATAGAAGAAGGTGGAAGGGCAGAGGTTCAGTAGCATTTGTAGAAATTTTAGTCATCCCCCTTACACTGAAAGCAGAGAGTAAAAGCTCCATAAATTAACTCCCTATACTAGATGACCCTCTCATAATCAGATACATCATTTCCACTAAGCTCAAAAACCATTCACTTGACAAGATACAAGATAACGGAAAAACAAACCAGATGACTTCAGGTAAAAAGCTTCCAATACCAATAGCTTTTCTTTTGCTATTTGTGTCCCATTAAATCAGCTTGTGATAAAAAACTGCAATATAGAAGCAATGGAATGGAATAAATTTCTAAACCCTTTAAGCAGGGAGAAGCTTGAAACAGGAAGTTCTTAAGGCTTTTTCTCAAGTACATAAATATATCACACTGCTAAATCTGCCATAGCTCTATGCTCCATGTTTATTGGTAAAAAACTGCCACCACACCTTTTCGTAGAATATTGACAAGACTTGAAGAATACTTGGAGTGCTTATGAGATAATGATCTAGGAAATAAAGAACCAAAATGGAAACATTATGATATCCTCTACAAAACACAACAACAAAACAGTCTATAATATGTGGAAGTAAAAAGCTGCACTATGACTGATTTCAGCTGGATCAGTCAATTTTTGTCATCTCATTTACAGATAATAATTAATTACTTAACATAGTACATTCAAGTCATGGAGTCCTCATCTCACCACATACAATCAACTTGCAAATCATTCTGTAAAGAGTTTATCCACGTAGCAGGTTGAATGCATGCCAAAAATATAGACACACCTGTGCAAAGGCAGTTCTGTCTGACTTGGAATATTCACTCAACTGCAGAGGAAATTTCAGCCACTTCACTTCCAGTTCAGCAGCTTATGGCATGAAACCTGAGCTGCTAATTCCTACTAGTTCCAAAGTAGCTTCGCTGCTAGCTGTGTTTTCCTTTTGTTGCACTCCCTGAAGTCTAAGTGCTAAGCAGCAAAGTGCAAAAGCTGTCAGGTTTAGCCTGCATCCAACATTGACCCAGTAGTAGTGAATAGCTTGATCCCTGCTGAAGACACTGAAGCCACCACAGGGTGTCTGACTTGCACTCCTTCTTTTCCATCCTCCCATCCTGCTCACTGGCTTGGGTGCTGTGCTCCTCTATAATCCCTGGATGTTTCAGTACATTGGTAGAATTCCGCAAACTAATTGCTGTGAAATGAAAAACTCTGGGAAATGCCATACAGTCACAGACTTGGCTCGGGATCAACTCTGTTACTTCCAGCTTTGCACAAATTCTGCAAATCCACCTGGCTTCAGTCAGAGCAGTTGTCCCAGGTGCCCATACTAATCACTTTTTGCCGTAACTCATCCTCCACGTACCCCCAAAATGGAGGAATGACTTTGTTAAAAGAGAGTAATCTCACAACTTTAAATACCGATTTGCTTATACATCAACATTGATAATTTGATAATGTGTTACCTACATGGAGACGTGTTATTTAAATATGCATAAAATACACAATTATTTTATACTTTAAAAGGTTATACTTCACAAAATTGAAACCACTGCATGATGACTGAAAAGAGCAGAATTTCAAGAAAAAATCTGAATAATAAATTAAGACCATTTTACCACATACACTATGAACATGAAGAAAACTGCAGAATTAAAAAAAAAAAAAAAAAAAGAGCAAGCACTGAGTTTGTAAATCAACAGTTCACGCTTTTCTTAAAAAAAAGTGGCTACTTTCTAACAGGAATCAATTAAGGGAGATCCTACAGCCTATGTTACACTGCAGAATAAATTAGATGTTCACAGCATTCCAATCCTTTTATAATCTATGATTCTATTTAATTAAAATAATGCAGATTTAAGATAATCATTTACAAGACCAACTCATACTATTTTACTGAACTATGAAATATTTTCCTCAGAAACTAACTAAAATGACCAATATTATGCTTTGCAAAGTTCAAAGTGTCAAAGAATTTTTCAATACTTAATGAGTTATAACTACCCTACTTGACAATAATTCTTGTCTTTTACATCCTGAAATGTAAGATCAAATGATTTTTATAATGGTTAGCACATTTTTCTATCCTGAATTCCACATAAAGCAAGCATAGTTAGAAACATTACTGAAACAGGTTTATATTTAGCTACATTTTGAATCACACTATTAGGATGTGCTAAGCAGATACAAACTGCAATTGAGGATAACAAAAGAAAACAATCTGGCTTTTTCTACTAGCCAAAACAGAATATTTTGTCTAGTAGTGAATCTAGTAGTGACAATGCACACACACACTTTTTTTCAGCTGAATCCTTGTTTCATAACATCAGAAAAAAATTCCCCTGTAATAATGGGGACCCCCCTACCAGAAACAACATAAGAGAAACAGAATTTAAAAAGAAATCTCAACTGAACAGATTTTACTTTTCTATCTTTTGAAATTATGCTTAACATTTCCAGTCTTTAAAAAGAATTGGGAAGCATGTTAACGTTACCATAAGTCTGGGGGGTTTTTTTGTGTCTGTTTAAATCTTACAAAAGAAAATGTGGTTTTATGTAAATTATTAAGCAGGTCTGCCAAATGTGATGTTTATAAACTTTTAGTTCTTCAAAATATTCATTTTTTTGTTTTCCAAACAGTTTCAAATACCCTGAACAGCTGATTTATAAATAATCTTCTATTTCAAATGCTTAGATTTGCTACAACATTTGTAAATATTTTTCCCCACCATTTCTGACCATTGAAGAAAGAAGAAGAATTACCCCTTCAGGATTATATTTTGCTAACACACCACTGCCATGGAACTCTTCTAAGACATCCTTAATTTTCTTGGTGGAATCTGGATGAAGAATAAAGAGAGAGAAAATGAAAATACAGAAAACTGATTTACATAATATTAACTGTAATTAAAGAAACAACAATCAAACTGCTAATAGCTTTTCTCAATGCACATTAGTAATTTTCTCAATGCACATTTAGTAAATTTTCTCTACTCTGAGAGCTGTGGGCACAAAGAAAATGAGAACATACTGTGCCCTCTCACCAAATACTGTAAAAATCAGCGAGTAAACACAGAACACTCAGAAACAAACACTCTTTGACCCAATCCTTAACTATTGTTAAGTAGCATATTTCTGAAGGATGTGTTTGCAAGGACTATTTCAAGTCACTTTTCTCGTCCTTGAAACTTGAGTCATCTATGGAACATGGTCATTCCCAACAGCGTTACTAAATCTCCTCTGGCATAGATGCCACTGAGTAAAGGAACTGTCAGAGGAGCCCGACAACATCAAGACAAAGGAGAACCCTGAAGAAAAAAAATATCTTTTTCTGCGGTCACGTCACAGAAAACCAATGTTGCTATCAAAACCTCAATTTTTGCAGACCTCTAAGATATTCTAACCACTGTCAGCTACGGTAACTTTAGGAATACCGTTGTCTAACAGACAACGTATGTGCAAAATCCCTGCAGTTCAGAAGCACATAGGTCTAACCTTCCCAATTTGTTTTAATTGTCTCCTTGCAGAATAACAGAACACTTATTTTAATAAGTTGCCACTATGTAAAACCCTTAAACTCAGATTCACTTAGAATACATCATGCACATAACCATCTTTTAAATACCTCAGCAATACAACAAAAATAACTGTAACTCAATTTTTTCTTTAAAATGCAGTAGTTGAGTACATAATGGTCAAATGTGCATAATGGCCACAACACTGAAGTAAACCATGAACAAGTAATGAATAGCAGATGTGTTACAGAAGAAAACAGGTAAACTGAATGGCTGCACATTTATTTCTACAACAAAACCTAGAAGGAAAGGAGCAAAGAGTGAACCAAGAACAGGACTATCACATGAGCAATTAGTTAGACACTTAAAATTACAAACATTAGGACCTAGTCTTACTGGTTGTTTAATTATATCAGCAAAATACAGCATTGTAATAGTTCTGAAAGGTTAAAGAAATTCAGTACCTTAAACCTGACTCTAAAAAAGTACATTTCGTAAATTATGTGACCTGGAAGAAGAAAATGTAGCAGCAAAGGATTAGAAAAATAGCTTTGTAACAGTTCATAACACCTATAAACAGGACACACCAGTAAAATTCAGTTTTAAGAGGTGCTGGAGAAGTTTTTTTGCCCCCAATCCCCATATACAGTTTAGATTGTAATAAGAACCGCTTTTTCCAATGTTTGTCATTTTATGACATTTTCTCAGATGAAAACACCTGAGACTATCTGTGGCCTCAATATAACAGTTTATTTTCACTAATGGGATGTATGTCAATGTTACTGTCAACTGTAACTAATGGAGTTTAGCTGGTCTCATGGGCAGTCACAGCAAATACTTACTTGATAAAGTCATCTATAACCTTATTGCTGTCATTTGAAATACACCAAATAATTACAACTTTATGTGAAAAAGATATAAAATTATAAAAAGAATAAATATGTTAAGAAATAAATTTTATTAAGAACTGTAATTAGAAGCTGATGGGTTAGATATTTTCTGATTAGGACACGTACACAGATTGATGACTGACAAAAATTTCTGTTTTACTTGTTCTCTATTATTTAAATATGCTTTTTAGTAGTCATATACAAGGTTACATACAAAATCATTGCATCTTATGATAATGAAGTCAATAATCATCACAGTGGCAGTGTGAGATGAGCAGATTGCATGACAGAGGTGACTGAACCTCATCCTAAAAAACGATTTTTCTGAACTTTGGAGGAAAGAGGTTAAACACACATAAAATAGAAAGACAGCAAGGTCTCCCCATGCACCTTTTATTATCCAAAGAAAATAATAAGTAAATAAATAAATAAAATAGAAATGGCCCACTTTCTAGCAGTTTTACAACAGTCTTGAGGTTTTCTCCCAGCAATGACCATGCTTCTTTCATTTCATATTTTGCCAGATAAATTCTATTCAACTTTAAATGAGTATTATGCCTATGCAACTGTAATTAAAACCAAAAACCTGTTATGTTACTTATTAAAAGAAATTAAATCTTTGCTTTTAATTTTGTTCATATTCATCTTAGTCAAGTACCATTAAAATAGAAAATATTCTCTCTTCTAGCAACAACACAACTATTCACCTTTTTTGTGCATGACCTTAAAGCAGTCACATCCAAAAAAGCATAGCTAATTCCATACTTGAAATAACTGTCAAGAAAAAAGGGTCTGTGGATGTAAATTCTGCTTTGATTGTCCCAGCAAAACTCTTCAAGAGATTTCCACATTCTGGACAGAAGCTGTAGTTATTATGAGCACAATGACATACATTTCACAGCCAAGGCAGAACCATTTTTCACAATCTTTTTTTCACAGTCATTCAATCATTTTTTCAGTTCATGTGACAGTATCCAATCTAACATGAGCTGAGATCTTTTAAAATGCTACAAAATGACATATCAATATTTTAAGTCAAACGCCAACTGACAATCTTCTGCATGCATACTCTTCCAACAGTGCTGACATTTCTCAGAAAAAGTAATTCTCCTTCCTCAGCCTCTAGAAGGCAAACTAGTATTAGGAACATGTTCCATCTTTAATAAGTTGACCTAAAAGGATATGAAGAATAGGATAATTTTCAAGTTTCACTCTTATTTGGGGATCACATTCAAAAATAACAAAGAAAAAAAAAAAGAAATAAAAGAGGCATTGTCTTGGAAAGCTCTGTGCCAATAAAAATGATAAACTCCAATAATATGCTCTCAATTCTACTTTAAAAAAAAAATCAAGTAAATGATTTGCATCAAAAATAGACAAAAATTTCCAGAAATTACACATAGAAGTAACAAGGAATTTTCCTAACTTTTTTTCCTACATTTCCTAACTAGGAAATAACAACAATGCTATTGGTTCCATTACATTTTGTTTAGTCTGATCCAAATCATCTAAGTTCTCACTGGAAAATGGTGGTGTAAACACAAGCGTCAAACCAGAACCTGTGTTCTCACTGTTACCTCCAAGTACAGATGTTCTGCATAACTAAGCAACTTACCACTTTGTGAGCATCTCAGTAAATTCATAAGCACCACTTGTGTTAAAATAGAACTCCATTGGATAACTCTTTTATCTGTTTTTTAAAATCAAGGACAAATTCCTTCTTTGTCTAAGTCTCTGTATTCCAAGCTCTCCTCAAGAGAGACAGTTTCTAAATATGTGTAGATACAGCACATAGCCTGTCACTGCAGTGCTTAAATCCCATCTTAGCTGGCACAGTATGAATTTCAGGTAGCTTTAAATATAAAGTTTGTTTCCATGCAACATATCTCTTCTTTTTGTTCTCACAATTTTATTATTTTTATTACCCACTAGCCCAGTGCTTTGGGCATTCACTCAAAATATGGAATACCTTCAGTCCTCTCCTCTGCCTGAATGGATTTAAACCCTTACTGTTCAACCCGTCTTCTGATGCAATTTGGATAGAATGCAGCAGTGTTCATTTAGCCAAGGGGATGGAAGGAGAAAACAGGAAACTGTGGCCTAGGAATCAGAGCTTTCCTTGGATGAGGTGAGATGGTTTCCCACCTCATGCTCCAGTGAGTTTGGGGCAGAACAAACAGGCTATGCATGGTGTGGAAGACTGATAACTGAAAAACTATTACTAGTATACAGGAGAAAAGTAGCAGGATTCCACACAGTGCCGCAGAAATTTTATTTTAAAATAAAGACTCCAAAACAATAGATGTATAGATGAGACTTGGGCTAATGTTGTATTGTTTCAGAATAAATTAAATAAGCAATTAAAATCATGACACTAGAAATAGGAAACCTGCATATGTAAAAGCATCAAAGTGTCTGATTTTTCCTTAACTGTCTTTCAATCCTAACAAAGATACTTTTTATAACTGAAGACAAATTTACATACTAAGTTCAAAACTGTTTAAGATTTGGCCCACATTAAAAATTATGATTCATTTTTTAAAGTGACTCAACTTTAGATGAGGAAGATTGAGCACTCAGTTGAGACTGGAATTTGGTGTACCATTTCTCCCATAATCAGAAAACACAAAACAGAAGGAAAGCTTGCCCAGATCACACACTTTGTCTGCATTTTCTTCCCATCCTCCCAGAGAAATTCTTGAAAAGGATTTTTTCTTAAAGAAAAAAAAAAGAAAAAAAAAGAAAAAAGAAAAAAAGAAAAAAAAGAAAAAAGAAAAAAGAAAAAAGAAAAAAAGAAAAAAAAAGACAGACTTCTAAGAAAACTTATACAAAACTCTGGTTTACAACTTAAAGGGAAATAAGCACTAGAAAACAATGACTGGCTTATGAATAATTCCCTTATAAATCCAGATATGTTTTTCAATCTCAAAAAAAAATTCATCATAACCTGCATACTTATTGGACCATAACTAATTTTAACACCCACAATAAAAAAATAAGAGTAATAACCACTTTCTACCTCTATTCCCCTTTTGTAAACTTTAAACAATATAAAAAATAGCACAGGCATCCAAAGTCCTACCATGGTCAAGTTCAGAATTTATATATAGAAGCTGGAAAGAGATTTTCTATACATCTTATGATTGAGGAAAAAAGAGGTGCAACCTTCAATACACAATTTTCTGCATGCCAACAAAGCCTAGCTCAAACTTGAAGGCCGTGCTTGATAAATAAGCCAAGGAGAAGCATTAGGAAAAACCCAGCACTTAGTTGGCATCACAATTTTTATATGCGTTCATATTCATCTACGGACTTTCCTTTATTTCGTGAATGCAACCATACAAAAATGTGTGCATATATATATAAATTTATACACATAGCTTTTTTTCTTTTTGCATAGTTTATTTTATTCAGAGAACTAGATAATGTTTTTGC